TATTTTGTGTCCTGTTATCAGCTCTTGTCTGGGCGGAGCTGGGTTGGTAAGCCTGCCCTGGGCCGTTAGCGAGGGGTGAAAGTTCTGTTCTCTGCTTTCAGGAAAGCTGTCAGGCGGGGCTGAATGGTCCGCTCAGCCAGGAAAGTGCTGGGGTGTGGGGGTGGGGCTGTCTGAGACCCGCAGTCTGGAGCGGGCCTCGCTTCTTTCCACCCTCCCCAACTCCGCAGCTACTCCTGGGCCTCTGCCAGCAGGCTAGACCACACACCACCAGGCCTCCCCGGACTGTGATGCCGGCGGGGTGGTTCTCTGCACAGGAACGCCACCTGGGTTGGGCGCACAGCCTCCTCCTGGGAGGAGGGTTGCCCTCTAGGACGCCGATCCGCCCCTGGAGGCACACACACCTCAGTATGCTGTTCACGTATAACCCTTCTGTGCCCCGGGCAATGCTAGCCCTCGATGCAGGGGATCTGGTCTGCAGATCCGACCTCTGGGTCCCAGAGTTCAAACTGTATCCCCACCAGGGACCGGATTTCCGGTCCCAATTCACCCACAGGGAGCCCAAGCTGGGTCTATGTCTCTCAGCCTCTGAGTCGGCACCGTTCTTCTGGGAACACGGTGCCAGCAGCACCTGGGAGGACGGGCGGGTAGGGAGCTCACAGTCTGAGTTCCCCTGAGTCAGCTGTAGGGTCCCAAAAGGGAAGGTCCCATTCCCTGGAGGTGCCTCCAGCTGGTGGCTGTATTGTCTCTCTGGGCAGCCGCGTGTAGGGTCTGCGGATGGGAGGAGGAGGCCATATGGCGCCTGCCGCGCGGCTCGGGTCTGTGCACACAGAGGTGCCCTGAGGAAGTCGGAACCTGGTGCCACATCTGCTACAGGCTCACCGCTGGCTGGCGGCGGCTGTCTCTGGGCTGATGTCCGCAGGTCTCTCCACCCGCTGGGGAGCCCACCAGCAGTCCCATATGCAGGGGAGGGGAAACAGCAAATCTACCTACCCTTGCCGCTGGTCCCCGGGCTGCTCCGGTGGTCTCAGCCTCCAGTTCTCCTCCGCAGCCTCCTCCCGTGGAATCTCCTGGGGTCTCAGGTACCCCTCCTTCCGGCCCTCGTCTGCTGTATGCTCATCTTCTTGCTTCTTTCCTCTAATTTCTGCTAGAATCTGTCTTTTCTGCAGATACACTCTGTCTGGCGGTGTTATTCGTCTGCCATCTTGCTCCACCCCCCCCCCTAAAATGTGCCTTCTTAGGTCAAAATTTGACTAGAACTTTCTTGGCAAATGCAGAAAATCAAGGTGAATAATCCATTGCACAAACAACTGTGGGCAAATTTGCTCTTTGGTGTGCCTCACTCCACCCAGCCCTCCTTCACTTTCTCTTTCACCCCCTTTTCTTCTCCAGTGACATGATATCACTCAACAGGCTCCCCTGATGGAAAAAAGAGCATTGAAATTATAACTGCTTCCCTAGGACTTTTATTTTAGAAAAATAATAATTATTATTCAGAGTATATTGTGTATTTAGCACAACTCCCCAATCTCAGTGGTTTAGTAAAGTAAAAGTTTACTTCTTATTCACACCACAGTCCAAAGTATGCTGGGCCAGTACCGGGCTCTGCTCCATACAGTGATACAGGGAACCAAGCTCCTTTCATCTGGGAGTTCCTAGGGCCTTGCGGTTTTCCAGTGGAGCCTGTGTTTGCAGCTAGTGGATAAAAGAAGAATGATGATACATGGGTGAAATGTCAATGATTATGTGGGCAGACTTTGGTGGCCAAGCCCGGAAGAGGCACACGTTACTTCTGTCCACATGCTAGTGACCAGGACATAGTCATGTGGCCACACCTATTTGCAAGGGAGTTGACAAATGGAATCTAACAGTGTGCCCATATGGGAAAGGAAACAGAATCAGCTATAGCGACAAGTGTCTATGCTACATGCTTATTTGGAACCTGACTTTTTCCCTAACACAGGTACCCAGGAACATTTTGAACAGCATAGTTTTTGAATCTCAATAATTCAAATTGGGAGGGTCAAAGTCATGACTAATGGAACTGAATCCTTATTAAAGAACAATTTGTTTTGCAGTTAACATAGAAACAATTTTCTAAAAGATTTTTTTTTTAATCCTAGAGGGCCCTAAGTTTACAATCTCTTAGCATTCCCAGGACTTCTAGAAAGAACACACCTATAGACAAAACCATAATATAATGCGAGTAACTTATATTTGCTTCCAGCTTGGGGAGTAGACAGAGGTTGGTGGGTCTCATGAATAACAGGGTTTGTCCTGCTGTCCTGAGGTAGTGCCCTTGGAAGGTGGCAAGACCTCAAAGGGGTTACTGTGTGGCTGTGATGATGCTAGCTGGACATAAGACCTCAGGTTTTCAGTCTTGGAGAAGGATTCCTATGCCTAAAGAGCAGAGAATCAGTGGACTTGAAGGGACCATGGTTGGTTCAGAAAGCGGACATCTTGGCATCACCTAGTATGGACCAAAACTGGGAGATGGGGAATCAGGACACCAGGTATATTTTTTAATTTGGTCTTTATAAGATCAGATTTTCTCATATGGCCCTAAAATGGAGTGAAGAGACCCAAACACAGTAATGACACTTTAAATTACCAGCCATTTTTTTCTGGATAGGGTCAGGAAAGTCAGAAATCTTTTTGAATAAAGAAATTAAAGAAATATGGCAGTTCTTTCTCACTTGATATTGTGGCTACAAATTCATGTCTTAGAGCCATAAGAGTGAAATGAGATCTCTGAAAGGTGATAAGGATACAATAGATGGTTCTAGAAGAGGGGTAGAGATAGTGCTAGGAGAGCTACGGTCTTTAGAGTGTGGTCTGAGGACTCTTTGGGGTCCTCAAGAACCTTTTTGGGGTTCTTCAAGGTCAAAATTATTTTAAAAATTATGCTAAGACATGAGTTTCCTTTTTCATCCATGTCTTTAAATTCTATGAGTGTACAGAGGCCTCAATTGAGTAAGTGGCAGGTATGAGCATCCAACTGTCTTCTATTAAACCAGGCACGAAAGAGATTTGCAAAAATGTAAAGCAATGCCACTCTTCTCACTAAACACTTTTTGTTTGTGGTTATATGGTTATTTTTCTATTAACGTACTTTTCATCGCTATTTTAAATATAATGAACAACAAATATATATTTTAAAATCTCAGGTTTAATTTCATACTATAGTACATATTAATAGAGATAACCCACGTTAAAGAAAAAAGAATGTTCTTTAGGAGCTTCAATTATTTTTAAGAGTGTAAAGAGGTCCTAATACCAAAAAGCTTGAGAATGCTGCACTAGAGAATCCAGAGTTGAGAAAAAGTAAATTTTGCCATTTGTGGAAGAATAACTTCAGAGAATGTGGAGCACTGAGATGGTAGATTGTTCTTTCTGGAGAAGAATCTTTAGAAGAGTGGTAATAATTAAGCCAGGGGCTACCGGGCTACACAGCCATTGGTGGGATAACTGAATTTTAATACCACTTCATAGAACTCATAAATCTAAAAAAAATTGCAATACTGCCATCTAGTGTTCTATCATGTAAATATTTTAGTATTTATTATTTTCATTCAATTTATAAAGATTGTTTCAGAATTGAATGCCTATAGAACTAAATTTAAAATTGCCCTGCGCTTTTGAGGTTTATGTCACCAAACATGTGTCTCTCAATATCTTAAATGTCTTCCCACATTTCCTTTTATATTTAATCACTTCTTTCTTCCTAGAGTTAGGATAACCGGAGAGGAGAGGATTTCAACCTAGTTAGACCTTGTTCCAAACCTTGTGTTCCTGTCATTACACCATATAGGATGATTTAGTGTGGTCTTGAGAAAACTGAATAAATAACCCTCTTCACTCTGATTATTCTTAACTCCTCTCTCCACTGGTATTTTATTTTAACAAACTTTTTATTTGGGATCAATTTTAGATTTACAAAAAAGGTTGCAAAACTAGTAGAGTTCCCATGGACCCCTCTCCCAGTTTACCCTATTTTCCACGTTCTACGTTCCAGTGGTACACCCACTGGGTACCTTGCACAGTGGGTGAAAAGTCCCACATCAAGGCACATGACTGTGAAATTTCAGAAATAGAAGCTTGGGAATCAGAGAGGGTGGGTTGGGGGCATGAAAACAGGTTATAATAAGATATTGGGACTTGGATTGTCATCAAACTTCTCAATAGCCACACTAGAGACTAGAAAACCAGGAACCAATGCTTTCAAAATTCTGACTGAAAATTATTTTCATCATAAAATCCTGTACTAAACAAGCTGCATATTAAATGCAGTGTTAGACAAAAGATAATTCTATAGCCATAGAGGTGCAAAATATTTATCTCCTCGTGCCCTGTTTATCAGAAAGTTATTTGAAGATGTGTTTATAAAAGGGGAGAAGAAACAAAGAGTGAGAAAGATTGTGGCAGAGGTGAAGAAGTCTCTGTGAATGATATGAAGGAGATCGTGGACTCCGCGATGACCTAAAAAATAAACAGTGCAGAATGGAGCAGGAAAACAGAGTTGTTTGAACAACTCAGAGATTTATACTTCTGTCAGAGTGTTTGGGAATTAATTAGTGATAGGTATAGAGCAAATTAAATAAATATAAAGAGCAGACAGTGGATTAACCCCAGAGAAAATAAGACTTTGCATGTAAGAATGGTATACTACATGACTCAGCTTTGAACTATACATAGGCATAGTAATGTAAATATCACATTTATTTAAACAGAAAAGGCATGTTGGATGGAGGGGGAAGGTGAGGGAACAAGGAGAAAGAGAGAGAGAGAGAGAGAGAGAGAGAGAGAGAGAGAGAGAGAGAGACAATGTATTAGATCCTCCCCTATACCTCCACCTATACCTAGAAGTCAATGATTATCTAAAACTGAAAAAAAATAAGCAACACTATCAGATTATTATTTAATATTTAAACAACATGGGAGTGAATACCAAAAGAAATGGTTAAAGATGGTTATCTCTAGGGAGTAGGGATCAAGCACTGAGATGAATTGGCTAAGGGAAAATTCTGGTAGGATTGTATGACTTTTTAAAACAATGTCCTTGTGTTATTTAAAACGGAAAAGATCAGGTGAGGAGGTGCCCTGCCTAGCAGGAATGTAGCACCTAGCCTGATCCAACTCCGTTAAGAATCAGGGAGTGCTGGGAGAAGAAAGTACAATTGCTCACCTTGTACAGAGTGTCTGATTTCTTATCAAGGCTGTGGCTAATCAAGTGGGATCCTTCAATCACGTTCCCTTCTCGTGCGCTATATATTTGCGTTTGGAAACGCCGTCTCCCGTGAGAGACCGTCTGCTCAATTGCCCTGCTCCTCTGGCTAACAAGGGTGCTGAGGCCCTGGTAGCTGAGGGTTCCAGTCTGCTGCTTCTGAAACCATGGCTTTTCCTGCAGGATTTGGATGGGGGGCAGCCACAGCAGCTTATCAAGTGGAAGGTAGGAGACGCTGGAGTGGATTACTTCTGCTGTGTTCTGTATGCCTGGGGAATATGGTGGGGTAAAGAGGCAAGAAAAAAAGGATTGAAAAGTCCATGTGTTATAAATGAAACTGGTTTCCCTTTCCAAATTTCCCTCTTGTCTCTTTCTGTAGGCACAAGGGCTAGTGGGGTGAGGGGGTGAAGACCAAGATACAGCTGTATTTTCACTCTGTCCAAGCTTATCTGAGTCTTCAGTTTACATTGGACCAGCTGCTTTTGTTCTTGGTTTCTTGAACTCATTCCCCCAATCCCCGTAAAAAAGGAAACAATTTCTTATATTGGTTGGAAAAATACTGGGTGAATTCCTTCAAAGAACTCCTCATTCATTGGGAAGGTGCCCGGTACTATTTCTGGTGAGCACAGAGCCTACTCTTGTACACCACCCCAGTTCCTGGGGCAGCTGAGAACTAAAGGGGAGCAGAGATCTAATGGCAAAGAGAATCCAGAATGGCTGTGAAGCTTGAGTTCTGGTCTCATCGTACCACACACGAGTTACGTGAATACATTGTCCTCCCTGAGACTCAGTTTTTTTCATCTGTAAAATAGGAAGATTAGCTTTACTTTTCTAAAATATACACTTTCCCAATATACACTTTCCCTAAGGAATTTGGGATTGTTAATAGAAAATCATATTGATTGGATCAAATAAGTGTGTAAAGCCCTGGATTAAACAAAGATACATGAGTTTATGGTGGTAACTTCCTAGGGTTGCTGCAACCAATTACCACAAACTATGAGGCTTAAACAACAGAAATTTATTCTTTTACAGTTCTGAGGGCCAGAACTAGAAATTCGAGGATGAAATTAACTAAGTGGAGATCATACTGGAGTAGGGCAAATGGTTAATCCAATATAACTTGTGTCCTTTTTATGAAGAAGGAGATTTGGACACAGAGACATGTAAGGAGAATACCACATGACCAACAGAGACAGGGGCTGGAACGATGCAGTAAGGACCAATGGCCACTGCCAGAATTTAGGAAGAGGCAAGGAAGGATTCTACATAGAGTCTAAAATCACCTGGCCCTGCTGACACCTGGATTTTTGAATATCAAGCCTCTAGAATAAATTTCTGTTGTTTAAGCCATCTGTTTTGAGGCACATTGTTACTGAACCTCTAGAAAACTAATATACAAAGAAAAGCAGGTAAACCAATCAATGAAATAACTACTGCTACGATAAGTGCTACCTTGATAATGGAAGCTTGGAATAAAGGGTTATATGAAGTCTCTGTGAACAAGTGTCATTTCATCTAAAACTTAAGGGACAAGAAGGAGAAAGCCACGTGACTATGGGTAGATTTTTTTTCCAGACAGAGAAACAGAGTACATGTTGATCTTGGCACAATTCATGCTGCTTATGAGTCCAAACTTCAATTGCCATTTCTGCCACCTCCAGCATGGGAATGAGGAATCTGCTACAAAGTTGATATCTGCCACGTAGAAGACATCTCCCCTGGGGGCTGTGTATATTATCACGCACATATGCTCTGTGGCACAAGGCTCTTTTAAAGGAGTGTCTGAGGATGTCCTGAGTAGCAGGGATTCCATTCCACCTTTCTTACGATATGGTATCTTCTTTCATCCTCTCCCAGACAATTTCTACTTGCTCACAGAGGTTGACTGAAATAGGCTGGCCGTGTAGGAGTAAAAACAGAAGTGATCGCTCTTTGTTAGTTTCCTCCTCCTCAAAAGAGGTCTGGCAAATCAGAGAGGGGACAGCAGAGCACTAGGATGGAGTGAATAGAATCAGGTTCTAGAAGTAGCAGACTGTGGCAGTCATGACTTGAGCTTGGTCTCTACTTCTTACTAGCTTTGTGACTTTGGGCAGGTTACTCAACTTCTCTGTGCCTCCTTATATGTAAGATGGGGATTTTTATGGTAGCTATCGTATAGCATAGCTATAAGATTTAATTAAGATAATGTATGTCAAGTGCCTTGTATTTAGTAAGTGCTCACTGTGTGATATTCATATTTGGGGCAGGGTCACAAAAGGATTACTGAGAATGATTCACTGTAGAACTCTACAGTGAACTTGTCATACATATGCAATTAGTTATACGAGACGATGCAGAGGGTTTCAGTTACCAACTTCCAGTTAGTAGCCTCGACTGGTCCATTCTGATCTCCTGTCTGCATAGGATCTCAGTGTTGCTTCCCCTTTTCTGTCTGCCTGGAGGAAGTTTGTCCCGTGCTCTTCTGCACTGGGCTTGCTTCTGCCATATTTTAAGGTCTTTTTGGTGATCTTTAAGTTGCTATTAACTTTATCAACAGCTTTTTCAGGGTAGGGAACTTGATCCAACATGCCCTGCCAAGAGCCGTCAGCCTTCTATCATTGTCAGCTCAGAGAGCGATTCTTCTGTTTGCTTGTTTTCCACCTTAGGAGCTCTTACCTATCCTTTGTGCTGTGTTTGAATCCTAGCTCAAGCACTTAATAGCAGAGCGATTTTGGGCAAATAATTTATTTAAGCCTCAGTTTCCTTATTTGTAAAATTTGAAAAATGGTCATGCCCTCTTCGTAGATTTGCCGTGGGTATTAAAGAGTTCAGCATATGTAACTGGAGCATAAGAGTGCCCGGCACTGGTGCTCACCAAATGCTGATACTGATATCAATACCATTGTTAATCTTCTTTCTGCTGGCTGCATTCTCCACCACTCTGTACATTGTCTACTCCATTTAGTGGGTATGGTCATTTTTGTTTTGACTTCTAATTAGGGTATACTCTCTCTGTGCTCATTCTTAACAAGTTCTTCCAGTAGCTGCCAGAAAAGTTACTGTTTAACCATCTCTTCCACCATTACCTAGATTACAGTATGAGAAGTCAACATGTGGCCTTGACAAATCAATGTGGCCTGGATTTAAAAGCTGGGGGCAGTCTGTCACTTTTCAATTTTGATAATCTTTGGACTTTTGTGCTGCCTTGGCTTCTGAGAGTCAACAAAGCCTTTGGAAGTTGCCAACACTCACTCAGCAGAACTGAGGACTGATCATGAATTGTATTTGTAAAAAAAATCTAACAATTTGGTGATTTGTTAGAAAACATTGCCATGTATCTCTTTCCACTGATTTTCAAAGCACGGTTGTCTGTGGAGGTACACTTGTTTTCAAAAGCTCTCTTGAAAGCCCTGAGGGATAATTGGCACAGCCTCCCTCACTCTTGCACAAAAATGGAGCTATTTTGGCTCTGTTACTGGAGTAGAAGGCACTGTCAGGGTCTTTGCAGGCCAGCCTTCTGGTCACTAGGCCTCCTGACATGTAGACTACTTGGCTGTGTATTTCACCAGGTTCATGGTCTTTCCTTCTTCCTGTCCTTGTTCATCTCCCTTCTGCCTCTCCTCTGGCTACTTCACTGTTTATGATTTTAAAGAAGAGTTTAATGTTTATTCTATAAGAGTTGGCTGTGTGGTGCCTTGAGCCTTTTGGAGGAAAGCACAATATAAATCTAATAAATAAATAATAAATAAGGGGTATAAGCAGGAGGAAAATTATGTGTTTTAGGTGGGTTGTAAAGAACCTTGTAAAACCTATAAAATGTGTTTGTTAGACTAAGAGGCAGGGTGGAAAATGCAGAAAATCATGGCACATATAGAAGTGAGTCTCATGTAATATTTTTAAGTGCAGAAAAATTCCCCATGATTTTTAACCCTTTGTAAAGCTGACTCTGTCCTCTGTTTTAGGCTGGAGGGAGCAAAAACAGCAGGTAGCTGACTGGCATCTTGTTTACTTTCTTGGTAGGCCCCTGCGGAGCTACAAAAATGACATTTAGGACCCAATTCTATAGTTCCTATGAGCTTATAATTCCCAGTGATTTCAGGAAGGCTCTTAAGGGGTGAACATGCTCTGCAAAATCCCACAAATCCTAAGCAAAGTCTAAACTACTTTGTCAATGTTTCCTAGTGGGATCTGAGTTTGTGGTTTTTGAGGAGCCAACGACCTCAGTTTTACGAATGCCGTTGTGAACCTCTGACATTGTACTGGATGCTGATATGGTGCTTGATTTCGATTTAACTTTGACTTTGGTCTTATGTTGGCGGAAACTGGGCCTTGCCTCAGACTTTGGTCATCTATTTGTCTTGGTGTGTTAAAGGTGGAATCCTACAGTTAGGAAATTTGAGGTTATTTTTTCCATGAAAAAAGTGGGAAAATGAACAGGGCAGCTATATTTGGTGGTTTTGGGTCGGGTTAATGGTGATTCTATACAGACTGTTTCTTCTCCGGTCCTTTTAAAAACTCGGGTCCATACAAACCTGAGTTAGAGACACATCTCATGTACCTGCTTCAGATGTCAGCACACGCTTCATATTTCTCTAGACCATGTCCTGTTTGCTTTCTCCACTCAACCACTTTTGGCTGTGTGTCTTGGATTCTATTTTCTACTAAACCCCTTGGATTGATCTCCTTGGTATTTTTCTAGAAGAGTGATAGAAAGATCTACTCCCTATTTGACCACCTAAGAAAGAAGGAGAGAGAACAGACTTAAAGCATGGCTGTTTATTTATTGGTGTGTAGAGAAAGAGGAAGATGAGAAGTGAATATTTATCATGAAATTGATCATGGCTTAAAAGTTGATATGATAGAAATCACCTTTATTTCTTTCCCCCAGTTTCAAATTTGAGATCAACAAAAATCTCAAAAATTCCCTCCTTTTTACTGTACTATGCAATTAATGATGTAGGTACCATGGAAGGAGCATAGGCTTAGGCAGGGATGATATGCAAATTTTAATCCATTAATACACCACCCACACTAACCAATCAAATGCAAACTTTAAACAGCAGGTGTAGTCTAGACTGGCACTTGCATTGACCAATCAGACTGGACAACAGCCATAAACAACCATTGGGGCCACATTTAAATGTATTGATTGAACGTCAGCCTTGGGCTTAGGCATGGGACACATCTGGAATATATCAGATTCTATGGACTACTGGAGAATCACTTAACTTCTCTCTCTTTCT